ACTAAACGTAATGCATAGACAAAGTTTCTTTTACTTCTATACATTTAAAAGTGCAAAAGCAATAATGGTTAAAATAACTACGCAGCGCCAGGGCTGGCAACTGCACAAAACGCGCCTGTGTCGCCGGTGTAGCGACGCAACTTACTCGTAAATCAGCGCACTTCTTGCCTTTTTAATGTCCTCATTCTTATTTCTAGGCGTCTCTATATCGCACTGCTAGAACAACTTATCAGTGTAAGCATAAATATAGTGAGTAATTTAGTTTTCTTTTTGAGACAAGAGTCGTAGTGTAAGTCACTTACCAGAATTGTATATTTTTAACTCTTTTTTTTTTAAATTGAAGTCTGCAACCAACTTCAAAAAAAGGCTACTTATACGTTGTCACCGCTGTGGGCTAAGATGGAAGGGCCTCTCAACTTGTAATTACATATACTGGCTTTCTATATCTTCAGATCGGAACAGCAGAGCCCGCACCTAACAGCCGGACGGACTCCTAGACAAAAAAGAGCCTAATCACTTAGTAAAACTAAAATTAGCCAGAACTGACTGAAACAATTTTTTTTTACTATTCAAACAGTAAAGATAGCTTACACGTAACATTATCATTTTATGTGCGTCCTTGTGGGTAGAGTAGGTAAACGTTATTATTGGTTTTAAGCAAAATTTTAGGGCGGAAATCTGAAAGCATTTTTTTATCCCAATCCAAAATAATACATGTATTGCTTATGTGATAAACATCCAGACTCATAATGATTATTTGTAGGCCTTAGAAACAATTGTTTCGCAACAGATTACAACTCGTGGACTCTCAGCGCCATAAATTATTTCTTAGCAATTGCGCTACCGAGCCTTTAAATGCTTCTCATCATAGAAAGTTTGTTCGAAAAGTAGGGAATGTATAAACTCATCAGACAATCTCAGGATATTTTATTTTATTTTAAGGACTAACAAGTTAAAAGCCTGGACTCGTAGTCGGGAATTGTTTCCCACATCAAAATGCAGATGCGTTGTCACTCCTAAGGACAAATACGGAATGCTTCTTTACCAGTAAAACGAGTTTTCAGATCTCGTCATTCACCATACGATACATTGCTACTTTACGCTGGTCTTCTGTACGAGCGTAGTCCATTCCCGTTCAAGCCGATATATAAGAATTCACGCTGTAGCTATAATGCTCCGACAACATAACTCTATCACGAAAAAGAATGTAGAGTGCGGAGATCTTAGTATACTCTACACATAAGATTGTACTGAAACGACTTCATGAAGTCCAACTATACTCTAAAAACGCTTCACTTACTTCTTACTGACGTATTTGGATGGGTTAATGGGCAAAATAAAACGATAAGATCAGAGTGTGAGTTTAGAATGCAGTGTCAAAGGCACGGGGAGAATCACAACATAATAAGACCTAAATACCAACAATTAATCCGGTTGTGATCCCACTTAAGCATCTGTCGTGTAGTAGCCAGCTACGGTGAACACAAATCCGTGGGATCATCACAACACATGGAAGACAGTTTTCAATTCGACTGTATTTGAGACATTGTTATGGCCAAAATTCGTTCATGCCCAAAATATAGTAATTTCCATTACCCTCTGAAATTCGAATTCTATGTATATTTATAGCATTCTAATTTCAGGAGTATATTCGAACACTGATATGCTGATCAATAAGTTCACGCCGGCATTCGACATCTATTAGACTTATTTAAGAATTATATGCAGACATTCGACATGTATGAGTCATATTTCAGCATACAAGTCCAATTTAAAAATATCATGAAAATAAGATCTCGAAAAGTATTTTTTATTTCCATTGTATACAAATTCTAGTAGCACAAGAGCGTTGTCGCTCATGTAAATCACGCAGAAACGTTGTTTGCAGCGCTCTGCATCTTGCCTTCCAACTTCCGTAAAGAAATTTTTATTTCTTGTTTGTCTATAAATCTAGGACAATGGTAGCAAAGTCTTGGCACCCGGAATATATTTTGTTATTTTACTGGTAACATTAATAATATGAAGTTCTTTAAATGCGGCAACAATTCATTATAATGTTTATTGAGAAGAATTTCCTGGCCGGATTGTTTTATATACAATAATTTTATTTTGCAGTCATAACTCTCTTATTATTTACTCATATTATACTGATTTTGCACAATTGTATGATTAAATTCATTTAAAATAATAATTAAATATAACTTATTTATAAACAGTAATTTAATTTTAATCATTTTATATTTTAAACAATCAATATTGGTTCCGTGTATTGGTTTTACTGCATTTTTTACAAAAGAAAAAGAAAGTTTTATCAAAGCTATAATTTAAAATTATTTTATATAAACTTTTGAATATGTGATTATAATAATTGTACATCATTCATTAAAACAACAGTAAGCTAAAAATTCGGGTCTCTCTTTTTTTTTGAGTCTTAACTAATTCCCATGAGATTGAATCCCATGCGGCGCGGTATGCCCACCGCGGTTTGCCGACTCGCCCCGAGTCATCCTGGGGGACCTGAGGGAGTCAACTTGAAAAATGTCGGCTAGTTTACTGCAAAATTACTACTACTCCCATATTACGGCTTGTATCTGTGTCGGCGTGGACAAATGCGTCGCGTGTTTAGGTCTCGACTTCTTCATTAAATAAAACGAACAGCTTTCTTATTTCTATATCTTTGTACTTTACAATATTTCTGTACAATGGTGGCATTTCCAAACTTGGAATGTTATTGATCTCAAATCAGGTATGGATTATTTATGTCGTGATGACTATGAATTAATAGTAAAAAATATTATATAAATATGAATTATTTACATAAAATATGGTACTGATAAACACCTGATGCTTTTACCCTCTTAGTTATTGCCCGATACAACATTAGGCGTATTTCTCGACCCCAGTTATTTAGCCATCTTGTCATATTTAAGTACTTTTGTATGACCCTTGAATACCTCTCACTGAAACACCCCACGAACGTAAAATCCTTCCAAATCCCATGTACAAAAGACTGTAATACCCTGCTATTTCATATTCAATTAAACGTTTTGGTAGGGATAAAATCCATCTTCAGGATTTGGGGGACTCACGGTCACTAATATGGATTTTCGTGGATAATTGTAAGTTTTTCACATTAAATGTATATAATAAAAGAACGAGGAAAAGCGAAGTGCTTCAATAATTTTTTTCACAACACTTACGTTTTTCTTTCGTTAAATAAATATGAAAAAATACGCATACTTTTTTATTAATTATTTAAAAAATATTTGGACTTGAAAATATACGTTTTTAATTTATTCTTAAATATTAAGCATTTTGTTTCATTTTCTTAAAAAATACTTGAATTCGATTTAATAAAACAAAGAGTATAATATTATCTTAACAGAAAGAAGTAAATAAGTAGCTATTATTTTCCGATTTTTAGGCCGTGGCAGTTTAGATAAGAATTAGGGCTAATTTTCGTTGAAAACACTTTCAAAAACTCAAAATGGTTACTCTACGAACGCAGCACCCTTAACAAAAAAAAAAAACATCTGAACGCATCTGGGATTATTGCGCACCCCGAAGCTTAAGGGCAACCAGTAATTAGATATTAATAGATAAACGAACCTGACACGTGTACGAGGGGAAGTTTACTAGAAGGGAAATAAAGTTTGTCGACTTTAGATACTAACCTATATCCTGTGAGAGTTTTGTAAACGACCTGCACAATGCTAAGTTTTAAAAATTTCAATAACAGTAGTAAAATCTTTTAAGTTATGTTCCCTTTAAATAGTTTATTTAATCGTAATTTACAAAGTAAACTAAATCCTGTAGGTATATTTAATTTATTTACGAAATTTAGTACTAATACTTTATTTTAATTTTACTACATTTTACGTTTCTACTACATTTCTACGTGGTAGAGCCATGTTGCAGCTATATTATGGTTGTAGCACGAATGGGTAGGCTCGAATGGGGAAGAACTACGCTCTCACAGAAAACCAGCGTAAAACAGCAGCTTAACGCTGCTGTGTTTCGTATGGTGAGTGTAGAGAACCGGAGACAACGCATCTGCATCTTGAGTCTTTATTGAGGATAGATGTAGATGTCTATGGGTCACAGTAACCACTTACCATCAGGTGGACTGTGTGTTCGTTTGTCACCCGATCCTATAAAAAAAAGCTACAGAAGCAATATCTTTTTAGCTCCATGTTATATTTTTTGCGCCAAGAAACAGTACAACCACTGATGTGTTCGTGTTTGAAGAGTAACAGAGTCAGTTATTTACCGGCTGTAAGGCACTTCGTCTCGGACTTCAGGGCTGCCAATGAAAATTTAGAGGAAGTTTTCATTTCGACTGTATTTTTTATGTGTTTTACCTCAGAACATTTTTCTAGGTGAACCAATTTTGATAATTGTTTGAAAGCTGGTACTTCCCATGTACTACCATTTAAATTTGATCAAGACCTGACCAGTATTTTTGAGCTATGCCTAATAATGCGTATTTAATTTACTTCGGCTACATTGATGATGTTCTCATTTTATTTATATTGAAGCCGGTTGTACAAAGTTATTAAATTAACCACTTGTGTTATATTTTATTTTTAGTTGGCCATGGGCTGCCGTAGCCACTTACTATGAAATGAACTGTTCGCTCGATTGAAACTAATATTTTATAAAATAAAATAGAATATACAATATTTTTTTTATTCAATACAGATTACAATATATTATTATAGATAACAATAATTAGTAATTTTCATACTAATCATAATGCATATAGTTTAATAATAATATTTTTGAAAGCGAAAATGAAATTTTATACATGCAAAATGTATGTTGTCAGAGATAACTAATTATGATTATGCAAGAAGGGGTGCATAAATTAGCAAAAAGTAACAACTCGATGAAGATGAAAAATTATCTTATCTGTTCGCTGATTTATAATCTGCTTAATGACTTTAAATTAATTTAAAAAAAAAATAAGCATATATGCTGTATAATTTTTTTTGTTATAGCCCATCGTCTACGAGGGACAAGATAAGAATCCGGAAATGTGCAGGGTGTTGTTAACACATGAAGTTATGTGCAGGTAATATTTTTTAGTTTTCCACTTGGAAATTGTTTTAATTAATTCTTTTTTTGTTTCAAGGTGCTTTGTGGCCTTTTTTTGGGGGAGGCCTATGTTCAGCAGTGGACTTGTGAAGGGCTGTAATGATGATGATGATGATGAATGTTTCAAGGTGCTTATAGTCCCTTTCTACTAGTTCAAATTTTTTATTAAGTTTTTTCTTACGTTTATGAGAAACCGAATAATGATTTAGTGTAATAAACACTGAATTAAGGTTATGATTAAAATGGATTTCGTAGTTTTATTTAAAAAATTGAACTAAACTAAAAGTTATCAGAGTTAACAATCATTTATTTTGTATAGGTACATAATTAAGAATTCAGTATTTATTTCGTACTGAAACCTCTTATAAAAAGACAATACATAATATATATCTTATGAGGCTATTTATGAACGAATTAATGAAATTAAAGTACAATAATTTTATTTATTAAAGTTTAAAATTATAGTTACTACTGAATTTATTGTGTGAGTTTTGCATCACATTGCTCTTACGCTACATCGTACAGTCGACAATTTCGTAGAAGTGTCTTAACAATCATTTGTCATGGAACTATAAATACACAAAAAGAAAAAAGGCTAGTCATCATTCTACGGTATTTGCTTTGCAAGACACGTATGTTTTGTTAAATATAAACCCATTTATCATAGCCGAGCTGTTCGTGTAACAAATTCAAACTTCTTTAAATTTTACTGGAATATGTTGTTTATGTTAATACAACTAACTATACATTTCGTATATTCATAATCATTGTCATCACTTTAGAATACAGTATAGAATACTATAATACTTTTCCGGAATTATATTAATGTTTGTAAACACTACTTACACTACGTACTTAATATAAATAACTATTTTCTCTTATTTTTTTCTCTTATTTAAAAATTATTTTATTATTATATTATTTATATTATAATTAATCTCAAATTATAACTTTTGTATGTGTTTAATTTCTAATGGCATAAAGAAGTGAAAAAATATTGTTATAATTAATATTTTTTATTTTTTTATCAATTATAATTTACGAAATCGGGTAATGGACTCATGTGCAATTTGTTACACACAAATGTTAGATAACTTTTCGCCTCGCACTTCTCGAGAATAAAATGACTCATATCAATTTTATTCGACGCCTAATTCTATATTAAATATCTGGTTTGGTTTTATTCAATTCAAAGTATTCTGTAATTTATTAAATAAACAATTATTGGACTTAGAATAAGTGAAAAGTTTACTTTACCGAATCAAACTTTCAAACAGTTTTAGTTCATATTTACTAGAATTTATACTTCGAAGTAAAAAATAGCTAGTATACAAGTAAAGAATGTCCCTTTTATTATAAGAATTTGTTTGGGGGTGCTTTTTCCGGTCGTAACAGTAGCGTAGCGTCTCGCCGCCATGTTAGTGTGTTAGTGTTTAGTAACACACGTTATGTCTGTGTTGGCAATTAAAATTTTATTCTACCTTGAGACGTAGTGTTGCTGTCTCTTCGTGTGAGATATGTGCGTCCCTGTTGTTCGTCTTCAGGGGAGGAGTCTCAGGGGAGTCTGTCCTTTCAATGTCTTTGCCCTTTGCGTCAAGGAGGCACGGTAGGGCGCGTGCAGCAATGCTGTTTTGCTTATTATGGACAAGACTTTATTTTGCAATATTTGCTTATAGTATTCATTTTTTTGTTATTTGTTTCTTAAAGTCATCATTATCATTATGACCCTACAAAAGTTCACTGCTGAACTTAGCCCTTCCCCATATATTGCTCTACAAAGCACGGTCCTGAGTCAGAAGTCATTTGAAAGTATTATTTATTACTGACTCTAGGTTCAATAATTCTGCAAAAACACAATTTATGCAATTAATGCAAATATGAGCAAATGGGTGTTTTTTGTGTTATTCGTAGATCATAGTTTAAATGAATATACGTAAATACGTTTAATGGTGTCAGAAAATATTTAATTTTATAGTTTAATCTATCCAAATGCAGCGGGTGTAAGTCAGAGTAACTTTACATTCTCTAACGGATCGTGATCGAGATTCTGTAACGATCCTAACTAACCAGAAGTTGAAGTGGGCATGGGTCGGCCATATAGCTCAATAAATCGACATACAATAGGAAAGAAAAGTCCTCGAGTGGCACCCAGCAGTAAGCGAAGTAATGCGGCCTTCCTCTAGTAGGAGTGACGACCTGGAACGAAGACATACAAGAAGTCGATGGATTGTGTTTCAGTTCCGTGTTTATGGCATTTCTATAGGGGAGACCTTTGTTCAGCAGTGGACTTGAGAAAATGATGATGTTATAATTTATGGTGATGATCGTATCTTCTATAATTTTGTTTTTTACTTAGATGGATAATGCAAAATATGTGGCTTTAACCACACGTGTATAATATATTTTTAAAGTTATAGCTTGATTCTGTTTACTTATTAAAGTATTTTAACAATGTTTACAACCTTGACAATATATTATTTTATTTTTATTCTGTATAAAGCTGCCGTGTAGTGGCGGTCAAGAATATCCACTACCCCATATCCTCCCGTGGGTGTCGTAAAAGGCGACAAAGGGAAACAGGCAGGAGATGGGCAGCAGCATCTTCCTGATAATAGCCAAATTACAATAAAAAAACTGCGGTTGCCAACCCGCTCGCCAAGCGTGGCAACTATGGCAAATACCCCCCTATGAATGACAGTAACAAAGAAACGGCCCCCAGTCCCCGGCGGCCCCGCTATTCCTGGCTACAGTGGCGACCATGGCAACGGCGGGGCAGGGGGTGCTAAGAATCTCCGGTGGAGGTTCGGTTGCCACCTTAGACGACTCGACCTGGCAACGTACAACGCACGCACCCTGAGAACTGACGAGAAGATCGTGGAGCTGGAAGAAGAGATAGACAAGTTGCGCTGGCATATTATAGGATTATCCGAAGTCCGAAGAGAGGGGGAGGACACGGTAATCCTCGAATCCGGCAACTTGCTCTATCACCGGGAGGGCGACCATCTGTCCCAAGGAGGTGTCGGATTTATCGTCCACAAGTCTCTCGTTAACAACGTTGTAAAGATCGGGAGTGTGTCGACGAGGGTTGCGTACCTTATACTCAGAGTCACCAAACGGTATTCGCTGAAGGTCATACAGGTTTACGCACCAACCTCGGCACACCCCGATGAGGAGGTGGAGGAAATGTATGAGGATATCTCTAGAGCCATGCATTCCTCCAAAACCCAATATACGGTGTTAATGGGAGACTTCAATGCAAAACTAGGCACAAGAGAGAACGGTGAGCTGAAAGTAGGGAAATTTGGAATAGGGCAACGGAACCCAAGGGGCCAGCAGCTGGCCGACTTCATGGAGAAAGAGGGACTCTTTATGATGAACTCTTTCTTCCAGAAGCGGCCCCACAGGAAGTGGACCTGGTCGAGCCCCGACGGTTCGACAAAAAATGAGATTGACTTCATTATGACGACCAGACGACAACTGTTCAGTGATGTCTCCGTGATCGCGAGGGTGAAAACTGGTAGCGATCACCGAATGGTTAGAGGCACACTGAACCTAAACGTTAAGTTGGAGAGGTCTCGTCTAATGAAGTCAACGCTCCGTCCCCCTTGTGCTCTGTTCCAAAGTCCCGAAACCTTTCAGCTCGAGTTACAAAACCGTTTTCAGTGCCTGGAAGACTGCAATGAAGTGGACGATATGAATGACAAGCTCGTGGAAACTGTCCATGCGGTCGGAGCTAAGTTCTGCAAGACCCGCCGCAGAAGAACACAAAAACTCTCCGATCACACTCTTAATCTCATGGCTGTTAGACGGGAGATGAAGCTACATTCTTCAACAGACTTGACAGCATACAGGCATCTGAACAGACAGATCTCCAAATGCATGCGGCGGGACTTACGCAACTTCAATACAGCTCGTATTGAAGAAGCGATCGAGCGGAACCAAGGCTGCAAAGTCTTTGCCAGAGATCTGTCTGCCAGAAAGAGCCAACTGTCAAAGCTGAAGACAGAGTGTGGCAGCATCGTTTCCGGGACACCTGAGATTTTGAGTGAGATTGAGAGGTTCTATGGGCAGCTGTACACATCATCGTTGGAGCCACACGCAAGTGTGAGTAACGATCCAAGAGCGAGTCTCATCCGACACTATTCCGAAGAATACCCGGATGTCAGTCTGAGCGAGATTAGGATGGCTCTCCAGCACCTTAAAAACGGTAAGGCCCCAGGCGAGGATGGAATTACAGCGGAGCTTCTGAAAGCGGGTGGAACACCGGTACTTGAAGTCCTTCAGAGGCTCTTTAATTCCGTCCTCCATGGTGGCATTACACCGGAGGCGTGGAGCAGAAGTGCGGTGGTCTTGTTCTTCAAGAAAGGTGACAACGCTCTCTTGAAGAACTACAGACCGATTTCCCTTCTGAGCCGCGTCTACGTGCTGTTTTCGAGAGTCATTACGAATCGTCTCGCGCGCAGACTTGACGACTTCCAGCCTCCCGAACAAGCCGGTTTCCGAAAGGGCTTTAGCACCATAGACCACATACATACCCTTCGGCAAGTTGTACAGAAGTCCGAAGAGTACAATTTGCCACTATGTCTGGCGTATGTGGACTATGAGAAAGCCTTTGATTCCGTCGAAATTTGGGCGGTGCTGCAGTCCCTTCAGCGGTGCCAAGTTGACTGTCGGTATATCGAAGTGTTGAAGTGCTTGTACAGTAGGGCTACGATGGCTATCCGAGTACAGAACCAGAGTACGAAACCTATCCAATTGCAGAGAGGTGTAAGACAGGGTGACGTCATATCCCCGAAACTCTTCACCGCTGCATTGGAAGACGTTTTCAAGCTTCTGGACTGGAAAGGATACGGTATCAACATCAATGGCGAGTACATCACTCACCTTCGATTTGCCGACGATATAGTCCTTATGGCAGAATCGCTGGAGGACCTAAGCACTATGCTCAATGACCTCAATAGTGTTTCCCAACGGATAGGTCTTAAGATGAACATGGACAAAACAAAGATCATGTTTAATGTCCATGTCACACCTATGCCGGTAGTTGTTGGGAGCACTAAGCTCGAAGTTGTTGACGAGTATGTTTACCTAGGACAAATAGTCCGACTGGGTAAGTCCAACTTCGACCGAGAGGTCAATCGACGGATTCAACTCGGCTGGGCAGCGTTCGGGAAGCTACGACACATCTTCTCGTCAGACATACCTCAAAACCTTAAAATGAAATTGTACAACCAGTGCGTGTTGCCAGTGATGACTTACGGAACTGAGACGTGGTCCTTCACTGCTGGCCGTATGAGGAAGCTCAAGGTCGCTCAGCGAGCTATGGAGAGGGCTATGCTCGGAGTTTCTCTGCGAGATAAACTTAGGAATGAGGATATCCGCAGTAGAACCAGAGTGACCGACATAGCCCAACGGATTAGTAAGCTGAAGTGGCAGTGGGCCGGCCATATAGCTCGAAGAACCGACAACCGATGGGGAAGAAAGGTTCTCGAGTGGCAGCCTCGTACCGGTAGGCGAAGTGTAGGGCGTCCCCCCACAAGATGGAGTGACGACCTGGTAAGACATGCAGGAAGTCGATGGATGCAGGTGGCTCAGGACCGTGTTTTGTGGCATTCTTTGGGGGAGGCCTATGTTCAGCAGTGGACTTGTGAAGGGCTGTAATGATGATGATAAAGCTTGATTATTATGTCTCAAATTTGTAAATTTATTTGGTTTGAATGAACGAAAGTGTTCTCAAGTTTTATATTGTTCCAGTCGATGTTGCGATAAGAAGAGTTGTGGAAATAGAAACGAAACGCCTTCGGACCCTGTCATTATTGATCGGTAAGTGATTTTAAATATTTTATCAGTTTATACGTTGTAACATTCGAAAATACTAAAACCGTCTATAAAATTAATAACTTAATAAAAAGGTTTCAGGGATATACTACTTAATATTGTATGTTTTTGTAAAGTTTTCTTATAAATAACTAAATTTACAACACACATATGTAGGGTTGCCAGATGTCGTTTATTTTAGAAGATGTCCTATATTCTAACCCAAAAATTTATCTTTTCTCCTAATTTGAAATCTTTAATATATGACAAGGCAATATCGCGCGTATTCGACATTCCCTCTGCTGGTTGAGGTCAAAGAATTTAAAAATCACTTTGAGGTGATGCGCGATGTTAGAGAGACAAACAACGTTACATTGTGTATTAACATTGTTTCATATTAATAAATGTAGCCATTGATACCATAATAACATTTAATTGAGAACAATATGATATCCTTCATTTTTATCATATGCCCTTTATTATTCAAAACGCCACGCTGCAGCTATATTATGATTGTAGCGCGAATGAGTCGGCTCGACCGAGTTAGGACCACGCTCTTACATAATACCAGCGTAAAATAGCAGCCTAATATTGCTGTGTTTCTTCTTGGTTTCTTACTGGAAACGAGGCATTCCATCTTAGTCCTTAGGAGTGACAACGTATCTGCATTTTGATTCTTAATCGAGAATAAATTTAGAGGTCTATGGGCTACAGCATCCACTTACCATCATATGGACTGTGTGCTAATTTGTCACCCTTAGTCTATAAAAAATATAGTTTTAACGAATCCTCTAACACATGAAACGGGAGCTTTCAACCCTACACATATGCGTTCATATCCATATATTTTGGTATTGTTAGGTATTAACAAATATTATATATAGAAAAATATACTAATTGTTGTTCTATTTTTATTATATCATGCGTTTCTGAGTTTATAGGCAGTTATAATATAATTCATTATAGACTTTAAAACTCCACTGTTGAACATGGACCTCAAGGGGATATTTGCCATAGTTATGACAGTTGAGTTGGCAATTGCAGTTTTGCACGCCTCATAACGCTAAACGTTATAGGTGTGTTTTACTCTCGACATGTCAAGGACAAGCAATTTGGTGTTCTTAAAATGCCTCTATCATAACCATATTGCACTAATACGATAATATGACTAACCGTATATCAAGAAAACCCTAATTAATCTATTTTATACTTTCTAAAAAATCATTTATAATGCTACTATGAAAAAAAAAAAGGTTTGAAAAAAATTTTACGTAGACGTCCGTATGTTGATTTTGTATATGGTCACGATATCTCCCGAAAAAAATTAACGTATGGAGACCGGGATTTTTTCCTGCTTCAGAATTACATCAACTGGTTTCCTATTTCATATCAATAGCCTAATATGCGTAGTTTGTTAATAAAACCATTATCAACTTTTATTAATTTTATTGCTATCATAGATTACTGTATAATTGCTATTAAAAATTTAATGGCGTTGTAATATATTTTTTTAACATTCGGTAGACAAAGGACATATATACCATACAGCCTATATCGATTTTATACTTTAACTTGAATGAAACGACCATGAGGCGTGTACTTTTGAATTTTCCAAACTATTTTATTTTGTAGTTGTTATTAGGAAGATACTGATGCCTATTATTTCCCTCTTTCGTGTCTGTGTAGTGGATATTCTTATACCGCCACTACACTGTTAGTTGTAATAACATTGATTCAATCATATTCATTATCTAATATTGTAATTGAACTGGTCGATGTTCGGTTTTGAGAAGAACACCAACCCTCTTCTTTTAAAATGGGATAAATTAGTCAAATCTAAGCTGTTAGGTGCATCGTGTTTAATTGCTTTGATATGATTAATTTATACTGATTGTTTATATTAAGATTTTAAATAAAACCGGCTTTTTAAAAAAAAATTTGACGGCTCCGTGGCGCAGTGGCTTAGCAATCAGTTGTTGCGCTGGGGGCCGCGGGTTCGAATCCCGCACGGAACAAGTATTTGTATGGCCTACAAATAATTGTTCCGGGTCTGGATGTTTGTCCTTGTGCAATTTATGTTTGTAAACTGCCTCCACGACACAGGAGAAAATCCTAGTGTGGAGGTAACGTTTTTAAAAAAAAAAAACCGGAATCAAAACCGAAAGGACAAAGTAAAACAGATATTACCTAATTATAATGTAACAGATTTATTTAAATGATAGATGGATGTAGGTGGCTCTGGACCGTGCTCCTTGGTGTTCCTTGTGTATTCAATAATGGACTTGTGATGGGCTATAAAGATGATGATAGTAATGATTTCTAAAAACATTTACAAAGTAAGATTTATGGAGAAAAAGGAAAATAATTATATTTGAAAAACTTTTCTTAAATCGTATATCCCTTTAATAAAAAATATTTTATTTGCGGCGATCCATCAGGCCGCAATGACGGCAATCTCAAAACTTTGTTACGTCGAATGCATTTTGCACGTAGTTACAACTTTGGAATGCTGCCACTTTTTATCTCAATATTTTGTATATATTCTAAATATACTATATGCGAATTCTACGTCGAAAAGTTTTGATATTTATTTGTACTAAAGAAAAGCTTTCTAGTCTTGTACTGAAAAATACTGAAAGTTTGCATAATATAATTATATAACTATAAAAAAAATATTTAAAATAATTCCCAAAAATAACAGAACGTTTTGCTGCTTTCTTAAAAGTACGAGTAAAAGAAAGAATGCGATAAACATAATCTGTTTTATTTCAAAAAGTAGTATATTGATAGTCTTAGGTTTAACTATGGTTTAAGAAGAGTCCTTCTAAGTAAAGAAGTCCGTTAGTCGTAGCGATTTTATTAACGAAATTCGATATAATTTGACTTTTTTTTAATGAAACAGATTCTGGTTTAAATCTAAAAATAAACCTCTATTCGTAATAATTCCGAATATGTATTATAACCGTGTAGTGGCGGTGTAAGAATATCCAATACCCCATATCATCCCGAGTGTGTCGTAAGAGGCGACAGACGGAAACTCAATTAGGAAACGGGCAGCAACGTCTTCCTGACAATAGCTAAATAAAATCATAAAAACTGTTGTTGCTAACCTGCTTGCCAAGCGTGGCAACTATGGCAAATGGATAGATGAGGCAATCTTTGGGGGAGGATGAAACAATTTATCTACATCTAGGTATACATATAAATAAAATGGAAAAAAATGTCCGTTTGTAATATTAAAATAACTGACTTCTATTAAGCTCAGCCAGCTATTTGCATGCTATTAAAACATTGTCTGTCTGTCTGTTTGTCTGTCAGTCAGTCTGTCCGGGTTATTCTTCGGAACGGCTGAACCGATTGCAACTCGAAATTTTCAGGAACTTCACGAACATAGAGCAATGCCAGGAGTGATTTAGGCTATATTTTATTCGATAAAGTTGGAGATTTTTTTTTCAAAAACAAAAACCAAAACCGCCTTTTAAAACATTATTGGCCTTATAACCGATATAGTTATAGGATGTGAGGTGGTTCCACCTTATTCCTCAGAGGTGACAACGCATTTGTAGGTTTATTTGTTTAAAGTTGACTGCCGATTTCCATGGTCTGCACAATTCAATTACTATTACGGTAGACCCTAAATTCGTTGGTCACTGCAGTTTTATATAAAAATATGTACCTTTGCTTACGGTACTAATTTCAATATCCTTGTATATAAGTTGACGGAATATGTTATTAAGTATTAGTTGCGTACTACCGGACTTGATGACTTTGATAATTAATAATAAATTTATTTATCTAACATTTCCACGAGGTTCATTCAACGTTTAGTAACAAAACAATCTCGGGGTAATTGTGCCCGTTGTAAAGGAAATCAAACGAAAACCTCAATGAATCACCATTAGAAAAAAAAATGATTACGCAACATCGCGCCCTGCTAAAATTGCGCGGATTGTCTCACGCTGAGTCATTCATTCGGATTCGGTATAAAAAGCGCGGGCGGAGTGCTAGCTAATCAGGCTGACAAATATCGAAATTTCAATAGAAGTCGACGCGAGCACTATCCGTAGGTGAGGGGGTGGGGCGGTGTGTCGCGGTGCTTTTATTTTGCGTCCTTTTTCGGGAATTCAATTGAGATAGGCGTCTCCCGTTTCGAACGTCGTTCGATATTTCGAATATAGGGTTGTAGAAATAGTTGGAAGTTATGGTTTATTTATAATTCGAAAAATTTTAAACAATTTTCATTACAATTTTAAGAGTACTTTATAATATCGTGGTGTCTCATGTTGGGGCAATAATGATGTTCTTACTTTAATTGTCTGCGGTTACAAAGACACAGATGTATTCACACACCCTTGTGAAATATTGACTTGGATTATAATCCAAACCGGTATCAGTAATGACTATTACTGTACAGTTTAGAATATAAATACGCCCAATGGATGAAAAAGTAAATAAAAAAAAACAGAGGCAGCCATTAGGACTGCCGACAGAAGTGAAAACTCAATGATATATGAGTATACATGTACACAGGCCGCTATGACAGCTACTGCTCGAGACATGCTCGCGACGTCTTGCGCGCAAGTGCATGTCGAGGTCATCGGTGACGCGAACCCATAAGTTTTTCCTCTATCAAAATCGCTCAACGCGGCTAAAGAAATTTTCAGTTCAAAAAACCCACAATGTGAGAAGTCTAGAGAAGGGAGAAAAAATCAAATATTATACCCTATGTTACTACCACAATAAAGATGAATCTAAGGACACCTATATGCTAAAAACTATTAGCCGGTTGAGAATACAGAGTGCGCAATTAAATATATTTACATAAATACATATATACTGCCGTGTAGTGGCCTTAGGCCTTATTGGCCGACAGGACTTATTACCCGCAGGCACCTTAGTAAGGTACCGAGTAGTGGCGGTGTAAGAGAATATCCACTACCCCATATCTTCCCGTGGGTGTCGTAAAAGGCGACAAAGGGAAACAGGCAGGAGATGGGCAGCAGCAT